ACAAGATGTACAGCCAAGCCACCTGTACATCTAGAAACTTATTTACAGGTATTGGAGCATCTTTGACTTCTCCCTCCTCCTCCTGTCCCTCATCCTCACATCCATTCGGTTCCCCAGGCCCAGAGATTCTAACTCCTTAACATCTCTGATATCTATTCCAACTGCCTTTGCCATCTGTCATCTTTGTCCTGGATCCCTGTGGCAACATGCTAACTGGTCTCTCCACCGCTGGACTAAAACTCCCCACAAGCTACTCTCCACCCTGTAGTCAGAGTGACTATCCTGAGAAGGTGGGCTGAGCATGCCCGCTCCTGCTCAACACCGATCAATGGCTCCCTGTCACCCTGGGGACAGAGGCCACACCTTCACCTCAGCATCCAAGCCAGGCCCTACCCCTGTCCTCTCCAGCCCATGCCCGATGGCCTCTGCACCCCACTGCCCGCCTCCTTCAGCCTTCCTCTGTCTCTTGTGGTCCTGTTTTGCTCTCTTCATGCTTCTGTGACTCTGCATTTGATGCCATGCACACTGGTCCTTCTGCCTGGGGTGCACTTGCCCCCTGCAGCCTGCCCCCTAACTCTCACTCCTCCTTTACACTCAGCTCAGACTTTGCTGACTCCAGCAAGCCCTCCTGGGTTCCCTGTCCAGGCTAATTAGATGCCCCTCCTCCGGACTCCCAGAGCACCCTGAGTTGATAAAGCTCATATCCATTCGTTACACAAATATTTATTTCACAGAGTGCCTCCTCTGTGCCAGGCACTATTCCAGCTGCTGGGGATACAGCAAGCAGCTGAAAATCCCTGCCTCGGGGAGCTCGCACACCCCACCACCCTGCTAATAATCCTTGGTGGGTGGGTCTGCCTCCTCACGAGAGGTGAGCTCCTCGAGGGCAGCCAGGGCTCTTGAGTTCTTTGACTCCGTGTCCTCGATATTGTGCGTGTAGCAGTCGATAAATGTTTGTTGGATGCTGGATGCGTATCACGCACTGTGTTTGGTGCTGGGGAGAAAAAGTACATAGGACAGGGGGGAAGTATCTGGGGCTATGAGAGGCAGCAGATGTGATGGTTAGGAGCATGGCTCTGGGGCCAGGTGCCTGTGTTCAGATCCTGAATCTGCCTCTTACCAGTGGTGCGACCTTGAACAAGCTCCTTAACCTCTATGGGCTTCAGTTTCCCCATCGCAATGATGGGCTTAGCATGCAAACTACCCTAGAATGCTGTTGGGAAGGTTAAAAGTGTTAATATTGATAAAGCACTTAAAACAGTGTCCGGCATGTAATAAGTGCCTTATATATAAACAAATACTCATTAAACAAATGAATAACAATCATAGACTCTGAACATAGATAGTCCTGGATTCAACTCTTTCCTCTGTCAGGTCGTAATCATATAAAATCCTGAAAGCTGTTGAACCAGACTGCGCCTCAGTTTCCTCATCTGCGAACTGAAGATTCTAACGATACTCCCCTCACTGAGATGCCATCTCCCGGGGTTCCAGGACTGCAGGCCTGGTACCAGGTAAGGACTTTGAAATGCATCTCTTCTGATGAGATAAAAGCAAGATCCTGCCGCTGAGGGGCCCATGGTCCCCTGTGGGAGAAGGAAAACACTGGGCTCTGCTCGCTGCTCAGATGCCACTTCCTCCAGGAAGCCTCCCTAGAACCCTGTGGTTCATCCCTCTTTTGTTCTGCCATAAATGCCTCCCTCCCGGGCCTTTTTTGGGCTTTCGCTTTAAATTCTGGCTCCAAAACTGACCAGCTGTGTGGCGCTGAACCTTCGCTTCCCTTCTCTGAGTCTTAGTTTTTTTTTTTTTTTAATTTGTAAAAGAAGATAAAATCACCTTCAACAGAACATCACTGTGAGAATCAAATTGCATGAGACAACGTCTGCCCAACACTAAAATGCGCCTGGCCGTTTATGAATTCTCAACAAACGCAAGTTCCCATTTCCTCCTCTTCATCTGACCCTGGTCTCCAGCTCGTTTGAGAGCCTGATTTAACTCTGTAACCCCCAGCGATGGCAGGTAAAGAATCAGTAAATAAATGAGGGTGTGAATGAATGGCAGGTGAACCTGTGAGTGCCGGTGGGAGTGGATGAGAAGCTTTCTGGGTCTGCTCAGGCATCTTCCAACCCTCCCCTCTGTCCATTGCCTCCTCCACACGCCCTCCCACCTTGAAGATTTTGCACGAGATGGAATTTTCCTCCTTCCCCCATTGCCTGGCTAACTCTTACTGGGACTCATCTCAGCCCAGGTCACTTCTTTAGAAGAACTTCCTCCGACACCTCCCTCCTGCTCCTCCCCGCCTGCCCCCAGCCCAGGGGTAGGCCATGGTCTGAGGTCACAGCCCTAAGTACTTTGAAGTTATAATTTGACATTCCATTAATTGATGCTACCCCTGCTAGGCTGTGGACCCCGTAGGAACAGGGACCGTGCATTTTTGTATCCTCAGGGCTTGGCACTGTACCTGACATAGAATGGGATGTTTGTTGAAGAAAGCTTGTGCTCTGAATGTGAAGAAACAGAGCCTTTTGGTCTGTGAGCATCTGCACCCAGGTCCCTCCTCTCTGCCTGCCCAGCGCCCTGTCCTGGCCCCAGCCTGCTCTCCTGTCCATCAGTGCTGCAGGGTGTGGGGTGCTTGCTGTAAGCAGAGGGAGGGGGTGGCTCTGGGCATACCTCAATCACAATGGAGTCCCTGCTGCTGGTGTCGTAGGTCCAGCCGTCCAGGCAGGGCTCAGTGGCCCCCTGGGTGTCATTGTGCAGGCTGGTGTTGGGTGGATACACGAAACGAAGGCACATCTCAGGCTTCCCACTCCGGCCGATGGGGAGCACCCAGGGCCCCGCGGAGGCGTTGGGTGGCGGGCGGCAGTGGTGGATGGGGGTGGCTGCTGTGAAGATCTGCAGTAGGTTGTGGCTGGCCATGCCGAGGATTGGGAGGCCAAGCAGGACTGTGTGCAGGAACTGGAAGGGTCCCTTGCTGGACACACGGTCCACGAGCTCGGCGAAGGTCATGGTGCCGGGCAAGATGAACCGGAGCTGTGGACGGGGCGCCAGGCCAGGGAGAGGTAGGTGGTGATGGAGGGCAGGTGGATGGGTGTGGAAACACATGTGGAAGGGTGTGCCCAGGTGTATGTGTGAGTGCGCGTGTATGTATCAATGTGTAAGGATGTGGGGCTTAGCTTGTGTGCCCCCAGATTTATGTGTGGATGAGGATGTACACAACCGCGTGTCCAGATGCGGGGTCCCAGGCGTGGTGTGTCCAGGCGTGTGTTCACAGGGGTGTCTACAGGGATGTGCACGTTTAGATGGGGTGTGGGGGGCACAGCTGGGTGAGCTCAGGCGTGTGGCTGTGTGTGTGGGGACTTGAGGGCGTGAGTAGGCATGTGTTAAGCTAGATTGATCACGCATGCTGCAGGCGTGGGGGCAGTGCAGGCCACCCGGCTGGGACCGAGGGGCCTCTTCTTGGACTTTGACCACACAGGATGGACGTCAGGAGTAGGTGGGAGAGGTCCCCGGTCGCACACAGGGTTAGCAGAGCCCAGGCTGTGTGCTGGGAAGGTCTCCCCAAGCCCAGCACCTCCTGGCTTTTGTCTGTCCCCTGGGGCTGGGCACATCATACTGGGGCAGTGGAAGGGGTCCAGGCAGGTCCCAGAGGGCATAAGGGACTTGGCCAGTTGCAGTGAGGAAGCAGCGCCTGGCCTTGGGGGCCTCCCAGGGGTCCCTGGCGGCTGGAGCTTGGGGGGCCTCCATCCCTCCTCACCTGGTAGCTGGGCCTGGCTCCCTCCGGTGGGGCTGGTGGTCGGTGTGGCTGAAGCCCTTGCTCTGTCCCCGCGTCCGGCAGCTGCTGTAGTTTGGCAGCTCAGCTCCTCCAAGCTGTGTTTGTACCTTCCCCAGGGGGGCTTATATAAGGCATAAGCCGTTTTCCGGGCTAATGTTTGACTTTCTTTTGGGGATTAATGATACCGGCAGGGAGAGAGCTGTGGACCCACTAAGCCCAGCTTTCCTCAAAGGGCTGCCTCAGCAAAGGCTGGGGCGGTGGCAGGGCTGCGCCTGGCGGGGCTGCGAGCGGGACAGAGGGCTTGGTGCTTCAGGCAGGAGGAGTCTGGCTGGGGCAGGATTGGGAGCCTCTGGTTTGAGCCCTGAGGGCCCAGGGTCCTCTCTGAGGGATGGTCTGGAGACTTGGAGCTGAGAATAGCCCCCAGTGGAATAGAGGGTGGTACTGCCTATAAGCAGACAATACTCCCCAGGGCACCAGCTTCCCCTGCCTGGTGCCTCCTGGGAAGGGGCCTGGAGATTTGCCTCCCAGGAAATGGTAGGCACATCCAGGCAGAAAATGTCACCTATGTCTGTCCCTGAGGGCTCAGGGCTGTCACCTCAGGGCCCCTGGGATAGCCAGGTCTCCCCTGTCTGAGTTTCAGACCCAGGGGAACACCTCCTCTTCCACACCTGCACTCAGGGGTTGGGATCCCTTCAGATCAGTTGCTTCCCTTTAAAGACAAATCGCGGTCCCAAGGGTTCTGTTTTTCTGTCTGAATATTATTTTAATTATATAATAGTATGTTTCTTGCCTAAAATTCAGGAAATACAAACAAGCCAAATAGGGGTGGATATAGCTCAGTGGCAGAGCACATGCTTAGCATGCATGAGGTCCTGGGATCAGTCCCGAGTACCTCCAATTGAAAAAAAAAAAAGACGAAAATAAAAACACTTCCTCAAGCCAAACAAAACATCTAGTCTCACCTGAAAGCCCTGCGAGTGATGTGCTGTATGTTCTTCCGGCCCTTTTCTCATCAGAGACTGTGGTCTAAGCCCCAATTTTCTAGCATCCAATGTGAGACTAATTTAACCCTTTCAGTAGCCCTGTTACTACTATTCTAGCATCATCACAGAAAATTGAGGCACAGAGAGGCTAAGTAACTTGCTCCCAGTTTCCCAGCCAGGAAGTGGCAGGGCAGGGGGTATGTGGCTCTAAGCTCACTTCTGTCTCTTGGAGCTGACATTTCTGCCAAGTCTATGGGGCACTCATTGCGCTATGCGGCCACTCCCTTAGTAGGTCACCTAGCCTGGCCTTCAACATCACTTCGGCCTGGCTTTCGCTCTCTAGTTCTACCGCCAGGGACCCTGGAAGCTGCCCCTCCCACCTGCTCCAGGGGCTGAGGACGAGCCCACCTAGGGCTACCCTTCTTGGCTGGGGAGGGGGCTTCCCCTTCTCTTCCTTGGCCCCTTCTCCACCCAGGCAGCATCCAGCTCCCTGGGCTCAGGCTGGGCTCCTCCCCCTGAAGCCTCCTCCAGCCCTTCCACCTCCACCGGCCTCCCCAAGGGCAGGGTCAGCTGGTAACCCGGGTCCAGCCCTTCCTCTCCGCTCCCCACCTGGGCCCATCAGTAATTGATGTTCTCAGAGTGGCCGGAGGCAAGGCAAGATCCGGAATCATCAAAGGAAGATTAAATTACGTTCCAAGGCCGCCAAGGGGTTGTTTTAGGAAGGTTTTTGACTGTGAAGCTTGCAGAGAGCTGGGCCTCCGCCCTGAGCCCCCCAGTTGTGGGCATTCACCCTCTGTGAGATTTTCCTGTTCCTAATTGGGCCTGGGTTATTGTCCTAGTGGAATGTTGTTTAAAGGAGCCGGGTGACTTCCCGCTGAGGCTGCTGGAGGTGAGCCAGAGAACAGCGCAGTCAGGGGCCGTGCCCCAGCCCCCAGTGGACGGGCCTGGATTCCTACTATCTGGACTGAGGAGTCCTGTTAGACAGGCCCTTGGGGACTGTGTTGATGCACTTGCTGTATGACTTTGGGCAAATCGCCTCCCTCTGGGCCTCTTGTTTCTCTTCATTAGTGAAGTGGCTTAAAACACACACACACACACACCAGAAAGCTTTTATTCAAACAAGATATTGGGTTCATAATATCAACGTATAAAGTGGATCCTAAAGAAGGTGGTCTGGCTACAGTGGTGAAGAGGGTGGAGCAAAATTGGCCCCCTCCACACCCTCAACACCCCCGCCCCTATCCTTCCCTTGGCATCTTCTGCCCCAGGCTATCCCTGCCTGTCACTTCCATTACATTAGAGGATCCACCACTTCGTACATGCTGTGATCCTAAATTTAATATGTCAATTTTTTTAAAGAAATGGTGCATTTGGGAAATCTTACACAATAAATGCATTTTTTATTTTTTATTTTTATTTTATTTATTTTTTAAATTGACTTTTATAATGTTGTGTCCATTTGTGGTGTACAGCATACTATTTCAGTCATACATATACATACATATATTTCTTTTTATATTCTTTTTCATTATAAGTTACTACAAGGTATTGAATATAGTTCCCTGTGCTATACAGTATAAATTTGATGTTTATCTATTTTATATTTAGTAGTTAGTATCTGCAAATCTCGAACACCCAATTTATCCCTTTTCCAAACCCTTTCCCTG